CCGGTCGTGTTGTGACGGTGTCCCGGTCATGTTTTGATGGTGTCCCGATCATGGTGTCTCGGTCATGTTTTGATGGTGCCCTGGTCATTTTGTGATGGTGTCCCGGTTATGTGATGGTGGTGTCCAAAGAAGAGATGGTCGATGTGTTGAAAACAGCAGCTGTTTCCAGATTTTTCTTTTTGTCCGGTTTGTATCTTGCTATTGGGGTCTCCAGCTGGGCTAATTGAATGAACAAATATGCTTACCAACTGCACATAGGGCAAAAAAACACAAGTTTCACAATCCTATCAATGTGATATCAACCCCAAAAAGAGCAAAACCTTAAACAAGAACAACTTTCACAACCCTATCAATGTCATATCATTTGCAAAAAGAGAAAAACCTTACAAAATCACAACTTTCACAACCCCACCCCCCATAACTAGCCGCTCTCTATATATAACTATATATATATATCATTATCTATCCATATCCAATTGTGGCTCATCGAGCTTGTGAGACTTCAGGATTCCTGGGTCACCCCTAGCCATCCCAAATCACCTTAGTGCGACAAAGCTACATTTTGGATGCTTCCTCCGTCAGCTCCTGCACTTTGGCATTCGCTGCGTTCGTCTTTGACCCCTCGTTCTGCACCACTTGCACCTTGCCAACAGCGCGGCCATCGAAACAAACAATATCATTCGGAGCCTGGGCTTTTTGCATGAACCATCCAAACTCGGAAAGGAATCAGAGCGCCCTGCTGTGATATGTCAACAAATGTCCTTTTCTTCACATTTAGCCCAATCCCGAGTCCCTCTAGGAACTTGACATGCTGCTTTCTCCCTCCTCACAAGTGTAGCCCTTAAGCCATGGCACATTGGCAAAGGATTGCTGCAAGAACTTCTGCGAGTCCATCAGCCCCGAAAGCTTTTTGTTGAAGCTTACCATGGCATCCTGAGAGCTCAACGGCGGAAATGCTGGGAAGGGTGCGCACCTTCCGGGGAACAGGGACAGGGCCTCAGGGTGGAGGCCATCGCTATTAGAAACAAAGAAAAAAGGAAAGGAAGAAAACACAATCAGAATCCAAAGAACTCCCGGACTCCCGGCTCAAGGGCTCGCAACCCCAGGGTTTGGTCGACGCTCAAGCACCAAATGGCGCACACATGTGGGCTTGGGGGAGAAAGTAGCGAGGTATATAGCTTGTGATGTTTAAGCTCCATGAATGCCTGGCCTAATCAATCATCAATGTCGCCCTTTCGTCGCCTCCTCTGCCTCCTCTATCTGAAACTTGACTCATCATGTAGGGGCCGGGTGACAGCCCCTCTGCGGCAATGCTATGCCATGGGGGATACCTTTTTCGCTCGCACGACCCTTGTTCCAGAGCCTGCAGGGAGGACATCGTGGCTGCCAAGGTGGTGACACGCTCCTGGGAGTCTTGCAGACCATCCTCCAACTCCTCAGGGGGAACGATGCTCTCGGAGAAGCCGCACGACAACCAGTGCAAACTTCAGGTGGAAAAGAGGTGAAACTTTGTTCCAATCCGTGAATCCGTGTTGCACTCTCTAGTTGATAAATGCGACCGGTGGATCTTCTGATATGGAAAAGGGGTTGGGATAGGATGTCTCAGGTGACTCAGCTGCAAACGATGATTCACCCGGCCCAGCACAGGAATAGTTCGACAAACATTTCTCCCTTGTATGCGCACATCTGAAAGAATCTGTCCCAGCGTCTTGAGCCCAGAAGATGTGATCCAATGGTTGCCCCATCCGGGTGCCCCAAAAGATCCCCACCCACCAAGCAACAAAAGCCTCCCATGACCCGGCAGGCCCGCGGCGCCTGCTGTGTGCCCTTTGCCTCACAGGCTTCCCTTAGCGCTTGGGCCGCCGCTGTTTGGGCCTCCCGCGCTGCCACCAGCGCCTGGCCTCGGCGGTGGGTGGGTTGGTGTGGTGATGGTTGGTGGTTCGGGCTGAAAGGCACATGTGTTTTTTGGGCTTTGGCTTGGGGCCGCTTAGGGCGCACCTTCCCGGCAAACCTGGGAATTCAAAAGGTATATGGTGGGTCCTCTATCTGAAGGTCCTTCTGCATCTTTAGGCTAGGAGCTGTGATTTGCCAGTTGCTCCTGCACTTCATCTTTGCAGCCTGTGACTTCGGCTTCCAGCCGGCCTGGGCGCAGGCGCAGGACTTGCAGGACTGGCTTTCGACTCCCCTCCTTCACACGACGTGTGACTCTCAGTCGTGCACTCTCCAGTGCATCTGCCCTCTCGCTCAGCTCCGTCCGCAGTTGCGAGAAGCTCCTCGCCGACGCGAGTCGACGCGGGCCGCTTGCTCCCAGAACAACTGCTTCAAACATGGCCCCGCAGCGGAAATAATCAACATAATCCTGAAGATACAAAAAGTGATGCGAACATCTGCAGTTGTGCGAGGGTCTATTCTTGTCCAAAATTCAGCCGCAAGTGCTGGTGTGGAAGCCTGCGGGCTTCCAACATGCTCAAATATGTGTAGGACATGTGGGGCAGCTGCATTTCCATGTTCCAACATTCAGATTCCCATCCACTTCCACTCCAACCCTGGAGTCACTCTGTCTCCTTTGAAGCTCTTCGTGCCTCTGACCTTGGCTCTGGAAACGTCGCTCCAGCACCTCACAGGCATAAGGCCACCACGTCTTTGCCCCCCACGTTGCGTTGCAAAGAAACAACGGTTTCACGAGCATGTTCAGATGCCTTGTTTCAAGGGGGTCCCATGTGGGGCGGTGCCACGCCAACCGCGTGGAAGAAGCTCTGAGCAAAGGATGAGACCGGACCTAGCTGGGCATATGGTACATTATGGTACGGTAGTCCTTTTCAACCACGTCCCTAGTCTCCTCAGAGGGGATGTTACACTTTCTGTGTTGTCTCCATCAACCTTCGCTAGCCATGGGATTGAAACATCGCCAGCTGTGCAATACCAAAATCCAAACTAGTCTAGTCGCAGCTGGAGGCTTTTCAAGCATCTTCAGTGGCGAACGACCAAAACATTTAGCCACCATACACTCCTATACTGCCTTCTATTGAACTCTACGGCAACCACGATCTAATGGGAGAAAGGTAAGTCCTGCTAATTCAAGCAACTCAGGTAGCACCTCGAGATTTGAGCGCGAATCTGAAGCATTGATGTCCTGCTTCTGCAGGAGCTGCTCCAACTGAGCGCTCGCGGCCAATGCATGGTGCCGGCCACATGCTTTCGCAATGCAGGGCTGTGGACACTTGCGGTTTCTTTTATTTGTGGTTAGCTAGGCGCTCAAAAGCAACAAGTCACACTCGCTTGCAATTTCTGTAAGACTTGAGTTCCAGATTCCAAATGCCAAATGTCCAAAGATTCTGCTTGATGATTGTTCGATGGCCCAGGTCAAAAGTAGAAGTCCCTTCCCCCGATCGCCAAGCCAATGCAGTATTGCATGGTACTGGTACTGTTTTTACTGACGACTTTAGTCAAGCAAGAACTTGTCAAATCTGAAGATGGAAGAAGATCATCTTCCCCTTTGTCCTCACCTTCACTCTATCAAGCCATGTCAGGTGCGCCTCCGCCTGCGAGGCAAAGAGCTGATCCAGCCGCTCGCGGCAGGCGCCACGGTCTTCCGCCACTCCCTGAGAGGACGGAGAAACCGACGAAACCACAAGACCTGGCAATCTGGCTGCTATGGCTCCAACAAAGTTTGACCCAAAGACCCCCCAAAAAAAAACAAAGAACAACCAAAAAGAAGTGTAGAATCTAGAAGATCCTAACGAACGGGGAGGGGAGGTGATGTTCGGCATCCGATTCTTGAGGTGCCTGGCCACCTCTTGTCGCCCATGTTTCTTTACAGTGCATGTTGACGCCTTTCTGAGAAAAAGAGGATGGACAATGTGGAGAAAGTACGCAAGGTATACTAAGTAAACAAGACCACCCTGGGAGAAAGCCACCTTGCAGATTTGAGCAATTGTCCTTGGTTATATTAATATATATATATATATAAATGAGCGTGGCCTGTTGAAGTTTCTACACATTTGCGCCACGCTGCTGTAGCAAAGCATTGCATGCGCTTCTCCACCGAGATCTCCAAGCATGTCACAGCAGCGCGGGCCTGCGATGGGTAGGGAATCTTTCTCAGACCGTCCTCAAAGAAGGACGGTCCATTCACTCTCGGCACTCAAGTCGACGAGCGACGATGGTGAGATCCTGACCACTCATGTACGAACCCTCGAACTCGGGACAAGAGCGAGCTATAAACGTGTTTTAATGGAAGCCTGCCCGAAAGAAGAAACACTAGGTGGTGACACCTTTTTCATAGTGGTGCTACAGTTTAAAAAATGTCAAACTCATGTCTCTTGCGAGGCATGTGCAACCAACCCACCAACTCGGAGAGCGTCTGACTCGGACGTCCCCAAGTTGATCGCAAACCATCCTTCGTTGTTCATGTCAGAAACTCTTGTAGAACTTGCACCGGATCACAGTGTCCCAGCCATCTGGAAAGGAAGAAACATGTGAACTCCACCCAACTCCACCGGTGAATGTGTGCGCCATATGCGCTGGCAGCGCCTCCGCATTCGCCTGCTGCAGCCTTGGCTTCACGGAGTCCGCGGCATCGACAGCTCCTGGCAAGCACCGCGCGGAGAACGCGGGTCAATCGGGTTGGGGGTCCTACAACCAAAGCCAGGGTCCGCTGGTTCTTGGGTGTGAGTCCTTCTCTGATTGGATGCCTGAAGCGTTCAAGGTATCATGAATCAGTTGACAGTGCTTAGATACAGCATGTCAATGGCAAGCCAACGCCCAAAGAACTTGCCTGCAAGAACGCACGCATCAATGATGGTTTGCGCAACAGAATCCCAAAACAATCCCTGCACGAAGTGTCTTGCAAGCAGGCCACTGCTGATCTCGTTGGCATTCCGAGCGCACGCCTCCTGGCAGTGCTAGGCATATGGTATATTACATATGGATGGCAAGCACGTCCATGGTCCCTCAACAAAATTGCCATGCCCTACACTGTAATTGTCTCAAGTGGCGACAGTTTGCAATGGTCGTTAGCTCCCCCCACCATGATTTACCTGCGCCCATCTGCTTCTCAAAGCTTAGCCACCTGCGCTGCCGCTTCAGCAGTCTCCAGTTCACTTCGTAGCCTGTGCGAGTTGATCTTCAGATCTGTGGATCTTCGGATGCTCAAAAGCAAGTGCTCAGCGCTCGATGTGATGTTCGTCGGCGTGCGTGGAGCTGGGGGGGTGGATGTGCCATGCATGTGTGCACATGTCATACCGTGGGGGGCTGGAGGGCCTAAGACTCTGTTTCAACACCTCAGACTCATTGGCTCGTCTGTAAATCTATTCCTCAATCAGCAGAACTCTTGATTAAGCTCACCCAAGTCCGTTCTTATGGGACCCACACGGCCACTTTTCGCACCCACCTGCTGACTTGCTGGTCCGCTCGGCTCTCAGCAGCTGCCACCTCGGGCAAGCTGCGCCACTCGACTGTTGGCCCCTAGTTTTCTGAACCGTATTACATGATGTTGACGGTTGATGAACCAAACCCCCGACCAGAATGATCTGACCCAACGGAATCCAACGTCTTGATATGGAACGTTTTGCTATACCAAGTCGGGCGCATTTTACTTAGCCCAACCCTCCACCCTAGTGCAAGCTAACGCTCAGACTTTTCCATCAAGTAGCTAGTATTGGCCCCTAGAAGAACAAGACGAAGAAGAACGAGAAAAGAAGAAAGCTGGGCCCCAACCAGCTTCAAGAACACCAGCTGCAGAAGAGCGAGAAGCAAGCTGGGAGACGAGAATAGAAGAAAGCTGGGCCCCAACCAGCTGTGAGAATTGGCCACTAGAGAAGAAGAAGAGCGAGGATAGAAGAAAGCTGGGCCCCAACCAGCTGTAAGAACCGCCCTAGAAGGTGGAGAGATGTATTGTTCAAGCGCCATCTACTTATGGGCGGACTAGTGGGTAAATGACATCAAGTCGAACCACAGTGAGTGGCTCAAAAAGAGAAATCTTGGGTCTAGCAGAGACAACCAACTTGCTATCTCCTGCTCTGCCTCCTCCTCGTGGTCTTGGCGGGCATCTGGCTCTTCAGCAGGTTGACACACAGCCAAAGGAGGATTTAAGTTGGTTCGACAGTTTTGCAAAGCAACAAGCTCAGCTACTCCTGTTGAACAAAGCAATGATTAGAACCACCTTGAATGAGCAAAGCCGCACTGGGCACTTGGCCGCCTGGCTAGGGCGCATTTTAGATCCAAGTAAAGCCTGTAAGCAGCTGGCCATCCTGCCCCAACACTCCCATTTGGCAGTGGTGGCCTTTCCGGTAAGTGGGAAATGGCGCTTCTATAAATCAGTTGCCTTGCCTTTCGGAGCTATGGGGTCGGTCTATGGTTTTGTCAGAGTAGCCCAAGCTCTCTGGATCGTATTGGCTAAATTGCTTAAAGCTATAACTTGCAACTACCTCGACGACTTCCCCATGATCGAGAAAACCGAGGGTGCAAAAGTGTTGTCGTCCGCTTTCGGAGCCGTGCTTGACATCCTAGGTTGGGTCTACGCAAAGGAAGGTGACAAAGCCCTGGGCTTTGCGGAAGCATTTGACGCCCTGGGGGTTACATACTCTCTTCAAGACACTCGCTTAGGTAGTTTCGAGGTTGCAAGCAAAGCCGGCAGGTTGGAAAAAATTGCGACATTCTCCAAGGCATCTCGGAAGCTGGCCGCATAACATCGGCTCAGGCAGCTGAAGTACAAGGCCTGTTGAACTTCACTTGTGGGTTCTTTGCAGCGAAAGGAGTGCGTCAGTTGATATCGGCTTTTGCTCCCCTGGCTGAACATCACCCTAATCAGGATGCCCCCAAACTGAAGGCCTCGTGCGCTTATTCAATCGCGCTCTTCAAACGACTCAGACCCCGCAAGCATGGAGTGAATGACCCAACAGACCCTATCCTCGTTTTCACAGACGGGGCTCTAGAAGGTCAGATCGCAACTGCGGGAGCAGTGATATTTGACACCAGGTCAGGTACTGGTGAGTGCTTTGAGATAGAAGTCCCAAAGGAACTGTTGGAGGAGTGGCTAGCCTCTTCAGAGCAATGCATCAGCCAAATCGAGCTTTGGGCTTTCATAGCAGTGCGTTGGCACCATCGCACCGATTTTGTGTAGAGCTCTGGCATGGATAGACAATGAAGCAGCAAGAACGTGTTTAATAAAAGCTTCATCCCATTCTCCAACCATGGCTGCCATGCGTCAGTTGGCATGTGAGATAGAGTGTTCACACCCGTGGATGTTTTGGTACGAACGAGTGCCTTTGTTTTCCAATCCAGCCGACATGCCTTCGCGAAACCAAGTCAGAAACGCTGCAAAGCTTCTCGGCCCCAAGCGAAGCAGCCGTCTGATATGTGCACCGAACCTGGTGGCTGCCACAGTCAAGGCGGGAAGAGAGCCTCACTCGGTTTCTCACTTTGCAGCGGCATAAATCCGAGAAACGGTTTAGGTGATATGCAAGGCAACCATCACCTACTTCCTTGGATAACTGGCAACGTCTCAAAGCAAGCCTGCACGCATGGTGATTTTTGCCTCAGACTCCGAAGCACAAATATCAATAACGGCAGGAAAAAGAATCATAAACAATAAACGCCTAATTGCAAATCGGCTCGATCCCCGAGGCTACAAAGCGTCAGCACCACAGCCAAATCTTTAGAGCGCACGCGGCCACACATCTGGCAGCTGCGCCCTGCGGCAGTACCATGGCCCAAGCTCCAAAGCGCACACAAACACAGATCTGACAGCAGCCATGCAGTGGCGTCTCTTCCTATAAGTAAGAAGCTCGACAGCTTACGCAATCTGGTGCAAACTGTGAAAACTGAGCGTAATATTTCAGGAGGCCAGATTAAAGAGACCTGAGCAGCGCCTGATAGCAATGTTGGCCGCATCCCCCAACATCTCAAAACCCCAATACAGTATGAGATACAATTGCATGTGTTAAGATGCACTGGGTCGTATTGTGAACATTCCAGGCGACACTTGAATGGAACGGTGTTTTTCAAGTTTCTCTAGTCTATGCATTCATCCCAGACCCAGCGCTGATCCTCAACAAACGGCCTCGGAGAAGCCTCCGGACGCCGTGTTGGGCTGGTATCATCTGGGCCAGTTGGGGTCTGAAATCACATGCGATACGTTCAAATTCCTGTCGCTTACATTCTCAGAGTATATAGATCACCTGGCTTGATACTTTAACATGCATGTTTTTTACGTGAATTTCTTTGCGTGTTTCTCTCTACGCACAGAATCACACAACTGCTTGCAGTTCGCATGGCTGTCCAACTGTCTCAAACTGACGTATAATCATCTTCTTTGCGGGCTCCACTACTCGCGGCGTTAAGAGCTGCTGAAGAAGTTTGAAGGCTGCTGCAAAATGAGAAAGTTCGGCCCTCGCCAGCTGAAATTGGAATAAGAAGGCTGGGAGACGAGAGTAGAAGAAAGCTGGGCCCCAACCAGCTGTGAGTATTGGCCCCTAGAAGAACAAGACGAAGAAGAACGAGAAAAGAGGAAAGCTGGGCCCCAACCAGCTTCAAGAACACCAGCTGCAGAAGAGCGAGAAGCAAGCTGGGAGACGAGAATAGAAGAAAGCTAGGCCCCAACCAGCTGTGAGAATTGGCCACTAGAGACTAGAAGAAGAGCGAGGATAGAAGAAAGCTGGGCCCCAACCAGCTGTAAGAACCGCTCTAGAAGGTGGAGAGATGAATTGTTCAAGCGCCATCTACTTATGGGCGGACTAGTGGGTAAATGACATCAAGTCGAACCACAGTGAATGGCTCAAAAAGAGAAATTTGGGGTCTAGCAGAGACAACCAAATTGCTATCTCCTTCTCTACCTCCTCGTGGTCTTGGCGGGCATCTGGCTCTTCAGCAGGTTGACACACAGCCAAAGGAGGATTTAAGTTGGATCGACAGTTTTGCAAAGCAACAAGCTCAGCTACTCCTGTTGCCGAATGTGAGGGAACGGAAGCAACTTTGGGAGACTAGGCCTTTAGCAAGTGTTTTTGACAGGCGTGCAAAACCACCCACGTTGAAGGCACCATTCGCATTGACAAACATTGGGTTGATGGACTCCATGTCAGCTTCTTCCAGTGTAGCTCAAGCTCCTTTGTTGCCCAGCAGCACATCGATTTTTGCACTGCAACGCATCAGACAAATGATATTGCACAAAACTGACGACGACATCAGGAGAAAGTCTTTGGAGAGGATCACAACCATGATGTTGCTAGACGTGAACGCAACCAAGCTGGGAAGGTCACTTCTCAGTTTTGCTGGCACACTGGTGACCGACGCAGAAATTGTCAACTCAGCTACAGACGTGTTTGGGCCCAAAAGCTCTGGTACATTGTTGAAGGGGTCAAATTCAATGTGGAGATTCTCTCAGTGGCTTCACAAACTGAAACTGGGCTCCCCATTCACACAACCTGAGGAGGTAGTCTACAAGTGCGTCCAATTTTTGAAAGAGTCACAAGCGGGCGCAACGTCAGCATCACATTCTCTGGAAGCCCTGGGTTTTTTCGGGTCTCTCCTGGGGTTCAGGGTGCTAAACGTCCACGAAGTCATTTGCGTGAGAGTGAAAGGTGCTGCGCACATCCAGTACGTTGGGAAGAGAGTCAGACGGCCGGCCGAAATTCTCACTGTAGATGAAGTGCGAAGCCTAGAAGACTTGGTTCTTGATTCGATGGATTCCAAAAGGGTGATCATAGCAGGTCACCTGATGTTCTGCCTGATGGCTGCGTCTCGTTGGTGGGACGCTCAACATGTCGTGACGGCGGTGGCCTCAACGTACAAAGGGGTCTGGTTGGTGGAGGCTGAAACAAGCAAACACAAAACCTCTATGACATTATGAGAAAGCAGCTGCAAACAGAGCTACTGCCATTCACGGCTTTGGGACGGACCTTTCAACGCCGAGCATGGGCAGAGAGATGGCTCGATGCTCGTAGCAGAACAGGGCTCACAGTAGCAACCCCTTTCCTGACGTCTTTCTCAGATTCGACTGGAACTTGGACGAACTCCCGAATGTCCACAGCAGAGGCAACCTTTTGGCTTCGAGAGTTGTTGACGCCAGCAAGCGGAATGGAGCGCGCTGCTACCCTGACTGTGCGTGGCCTGAAGGCCACATTACTGTCGTGCGCTGCGAAGTCGACTATGTTCACTCCAGAAGAACAGACGGCCTCTAGCACTGGATTGCCTTTCAAAGGCTTCTCGTAGCACAGCTTTGCCTTGAAGCCGCTTGCGCTTCAGGCATTCCTTTGCATTCCCTGTTCTGTACTTGGTCAACTCGACCTCTTGCGTGATACCTTGCGAAAAGCCATCCACATGTAGTTGACCACTGGTCCCAAGGAATGCCCCAGCTCGCGGTTGGTTGAGACGGCAAACAGCTGGGACTTGCCCATCGGTTGTTCCACTTTCTGCTTCCTCGCCAACCTATTCTCTTCAGTTGTGTCCCCCTTCTGCTCAAACTTTCTCTGCTTGCTGGAGTTTCCTATTGACTCTTGCGCCGTGACGACCGGGGCCTCGTTTGTCGCCACTGTTGTCCGGTCTCGACCTCCGGATCTGTTCAGTGGTATCTCCTCCAACGCGTCCTCTATGCGCCGTAAGACCGCTGACGACTTCCATCTCTTCAAAAATGAGGTGTCATAGATGCCCAAGCCCCTTCTCGTGTACATCATAGCCCCGGATCTCCTGCCTGACTGCCCCGACATCCTCGGGTTAAGGTCGTTCTGCCAGGCTCTCACCATCTGTTCTTTGGAGATCTGAGTGCCCGCGCGCGTTGGAAACAAAGGGCTTTCCTTGTTCGTCAAGCAGCTCAGCGCTCCCACTGCCAGGTTCCATGGGCAAAGTGCATCACAGTACGCTTCCCCACAACACTGCAACGTTCGCAACGCACCCTTGGCTTGTTGGTCTGCCTTTGACCTAGGGATGAACAGCTTCACCTCCTTCCTTTTCGTTTTGACCTCCTGCTCATCCACGTTGATGTCGCATGAAGCTTCGTCGCGAACTTGTTCGAGATCGCCTTCACCCACTCTTTTGACCTCGCCCTGCTCACCACCTCGTCGATGGTCAACGTCGGGGTCCCTGCTTGCCTGCTCCAACATCTGAGATAGCACTCCTCCTGGCCTCCTCATCCTCACGAAGCGCTCCCTTGTTCCGCTCGGACTGTATATCGACCAGGCTTCTTCTTCCGTCACCGCTCGCATCCAGTCTGGCTGAGCCCTGTCTGCCGAAGTTCTCCCTGGATTCTCCGGCGGACGCTGACGCTGACTTCTTGACCTCCCCATAGCGGATGTAATAGTGGTCTCCTGTTCTCCCTTCTTTCGTTGTTGGCTTGAGCTCCTCCTCGACCGATGTCTCGACTCTGGCTCTCTCCTCCATGTCGCCCGCTGTCTCCTCTCCTTGGCTCGACCTGTGTAGCGGACGGACGACGCGCCGTAGCAGCGGCGCGCCGTTGCTGGGGTCGTCCCCCTCCTGCGCTGCTAGGGCCGTCATGGCTGTGACCCTCCATCTTGCTCGACGAACCCGGTAGCGAACGATCCGCGCACGACGGAAACCGAAACCGATCCGACCCCGGCCGCGCCCCCCCGCCCCGCCTCGCGTTGCCCAGTACATGGTACAGCTCGATCTGTTTCGCGTCTATAGTGTCCAGGAGCAACGCGAGCTCTGCAGCAATGTAATTGAGAGAAGGCGATGGACTGCTCAACTTCTGGGCGATGCCTAACGCCACGGAGCTGTCGGACTTGAGAATCATGGCAAGCCCTTGCGCTGAATGCGCCTCTGCCAAAACAGCCCTCAAACTTGCATACGCTTCGCGCACAGCTTGGCTGGCCGCCTCGCCGTGGCTCAGCCTTGAACGCCTCAATGACCTGCCCGTCTCCTTGTCCTTCCGCCACAAGACTGCGCCGATGCCCATCGGTGAGGCGTCCGAAATGATACCCCGCTCGGCCGGCTTCTCCTTCAACCACATGATGCGAGCCTGTATTTTGAAGCCCATGGCGATCAGCCAGGGCGAGGCTGCACCAAGTCTTTTGACTGCTACCAAGCCCACCTTTGGTCTTTGATCACCGTCACGTCCTTTCGCTCGCTTCCACTCATGGCCCGCCTCGATGTCATGCATGGCATCCGTAGTGACCGCGTAGAACACCGACGCCGTCCACCGAATCCGCGGGAGGATGCCAGCCATCCACGACAGTCGCCCTGCAACGGAGCGTAGGCACCATACCCTTGCCGAGCCAGGAGACCAGCGCGTCGTAGACCTCCTTGCAGATCTTGAAGGGGAGCTCGACCGTGATGTGCCTCCCGCCTCCGCGGTCTTTGACTCGAACACTTCGAACTGGGTTCCGATCCAAACCACTCTAAGGTGCCATGCACGCTCGCCTTTCTCGAGCGAGACCATGATGCCCAGCGCCTGCATCGAGTAAAGCGTCATCGATAGCAGCTTCGCTTGCTCCGCCGGGGTACCTCGCAGCGCGATGAGCAGGTCAGCAAGGTATATTTGGATCACCGCCTCGTCCGGTAGCACCAAACTCTGTAGTAACCTGCCCAAAGCCGCGCTCAATCTGCCCATCACCAATGGAGCGGCAATGTTGGAGTTCGTCCCGCGTCACTGCAAAATGACAGAAGGCGTCTGCCAGGTCTACCAGCACGAACTCTGTGGTGCATTGAGGATCTGCTGGGAATGGTGGCTCCCACTCATCCATCTTCCGCACTGATCCCAACACATCTGGGACCCGCAGCAGCGTGATACGACTGTTGCCTCCACTCCTCAACATATCCACTACGATCCTCTTCTTCACCGTGCCATCTGCCCTGGTTTTGAGGATCAGGGCAAGTTTTGAGACTGTGCTGATGCTGTATGCGTCCCGCACCGCTGCCGCGCGAAGCCCTTCGCCTCGTATCTCGCTATCTCCTCCCCGGCCTCCTTTAGAAAATCTTGTACGGACGCGTAGTTCAACATCCCTTGGCACTCCTCGAACTCGACCTGTGTGCCTTGCTGGAGGAAACACACTACCTGATGGGGGTATCTTTGCTGCCATGCCCAACGGTACCCCCTCCCTGAACTGCTGGATGCACACGCCGGATCACGTGCTGCCGCCTGCCAGCTGTAGCTCTGCGTCCAGCGGGGATCTGTACTCCGTGTTTGGCCTAAGCAGGAGCCTCGGATGCCACTTTCGGAGCTCCCCGCCTGCCTGCTCCGATCCAAGCTGCTGCGGGGTGATGCACTTTCTCTGACCAAAAGGCTGTGTCCTTGACTAGCTCCCGGAACACGCGCGACCACAGGTTGATCGGGTCCCAGTCTTCTGGCACTTGACGACCTCTGCCTCCGTCAATGTCCAACAGTCGACGAATATCTTCTCAAGTCGTTCCGCACGAGCTGTATCTTCCGCTGTGTATATCGATAAGCGACCAACACTGGGGTACTGTATGACCAACTTCTCCACGTGCTTGAAGTACAACTCCAGAGCTGCCAAGTTGACGATGTTGAGCATGAGGACTGCAGACTTGAAGACCTTCCATAAGCACGTCCAGGCCTGGAAGGATCCGGGCCCCGGAATGTCCCTGTACAAGAACGTCCCATCTCCCAACGGAGTATACGTCCTGGTCTTCTGTGTCTTCGAAGTCCTCCGTCCATACGGCAGCCACATAGCGAAGTCACAGTAGAGGGCTTGATTGTTGGTGATGACTCTCCTTGCCAAGGCGGCCACTTGAGAACTTGTCGGCTCCTCTGACTCCTCTGGGCGTGCTCCCATGATGGCAATGTAATTTTGCCACCATCGATTCACATCTCTCGCATCCGGCGGCATAAACTCTGATTCATCGCATTGGTCGATCAGTGACTCGACTGCATCTTCAGCACGTTCTCTTTGAGTCCGGACCTCCTTGGGGGTTGACCTTAGGTGCTGCTGTAGTTCCTCCACCGACCGGCGCCACTGTCTCCATGGGTCCTCATCAACGAACTGCTCCTCTGCTACTCCTGCTCTGAAGGCCATGACTCGCTTGCTCAGGCGCCAAACCAACCCCACCTGCGTGGCCTCCAACGGTGTCAAAGGGCCGCGACTAGTCACGGCAGTGCCACACGCCGCCACAAGAGCACCACGAGCGATAGCTGAAAACAAACCGATGTTGTTACCGGGATCACCCACATGAAAGATCACCGCGGCCCATACCTCGTCGCCCGCCAACCTAAAGTGATCCAAAATGTCCGGCAAGTCCTGGAAGGCACTCAATCCCGTCCATAGCCCAAACAAGGCCATGGCCACGCGCGCCTCTCGAACCTACCGTTAAACTTTCCTCCATATGGGTGGAGGGGGAGTGCTCTTGAGCCAAAATGGCCAACACTCCCTCCTCCCTTCTGTAGCTATTCCTAGGTATGGCATATTCTATGCTCAATAGTCAACATTCAGGGTCAGGGTCATCTATGGTCATCTTACCCATGTGACGCTGCACGTTCAAGCCCTCCGACCTACAGCTCCTTCGAATGGCATCGGGATAGACACGCCGCCTTGGGCCCTCGGAATACTTTTTCCACAAATTCAGTGAACACTGCGCAACAAGGAATTACAAGTATCCCAGTATCCCCGTAGACTCTTAGACTATTCAGATCGAAGACGTGTCACATGTGTCTTGCACGTTTCCAAGCTCAAGTACGACAAAGCATCTGTTCCAAGCTCATTGATTTTGACTTCAGTGGTTCCAATGTTCCCCACTTTCATTGGACACAACCACCCCAAACTCCAAATAATTCTCTCATTCTGGCCACACTCATACCAACCCCCCGCTCGCACCCATCCGCAGAAACACCGGCCTCAGAGGTGAGCTCCACCATGGCCGAGGTCACCCCATGCTGCGCCACGGTCTGTGCCAGGCGGAGGAGGTCCTCGTGACCTCGCCGCAGCTCAGCTGGAAAGGCGAACAAACTGGACACCGGATTGACAAAGCTACCTCTCTCTGAACAAACTGGACACCGCCCTCAAGGGCCAAAGCCAACAACTCCTTTTAAAGGCCACTCTGCCCTCCAACCTAAGCGATGGCCTCCAACCTAATAGCGATGGCCTCCAACCTACTAGCAATAGCCTCAGGGTGTGTTTACATGTGCTCCTGAAATGTCCATCGCGGCTCGCCCGCCTTGTTGGATGTGCTGGGTCACCTCTTCGCCACGCTTCTGCAACACCTCCTCCACCTCTGCCCGCAGCTCAGCCACCTCAGGAGACGCCGCGTCTGCGAGCACAGCCGTTGGCCCTTCGACGGTGCCAAATGCTGAGCAATTGGGAAGAGTCGGAAGAGGGATCTTTTCTTTGGAACATGTCGCCAAAATCGGAACAAAGACAATTCAATTGCAGCCTTTACCATCAAACAAACCATCATTCACCCTTCGGCCTGGTTTGCCACAAGGCCTTGCAGTTGGTGGTTTCGTTGCTCCAGCAGCGCATTTAGGCGATCGTCATTGTAGCCTTGCTCCTTGCTGACGTGTTGGGTAGCTAGAACACGTTGCCGAATTGCAACAAAGCGCCGGAGGTTCCAAATGGACACCTGAAATAAGTGGCGTCAACTACTGCAAAGTACAATGACAAGAAAACAGAACCAATATTAGTCTATTTTTTGTATGCTGTACATTTTGTTGTATATTTGGAATGTTAGCAAGATCTAGCATGTTGGTGGTAGGGACGACGAAACGGTCGCAGCAGGAGCAGCAGCAGTGGTGGGAACAGTCGTGCGAAGTCACGCGATTGATAAAATTGAAGAGTAGGAACATGAATAGCAGCACATTTGAATCGCACTGGTAACTGCCGGACGCTGTTGGCAAACCTTCTCATCTTTTCAACACCATCACCTTCTGGCAGGGTTCCTGTGCAAAACTCCCAAAATCAATGCAATAGGTCGATAGGTGGCCACTCTTTGCTCCAGTCTTCGAGGGGCCGTCCTGCCACAAGCGCCCGAGATCCTCCCGCAGCACACACGCGCCCACAGCCTCCCTGAGCTCTTCCAAACGCTCAGCGTGCTTCTCCTGAGCGGAAAGGGTTTGCAGCTGGTGTGGTCTGGGGCTCCCCTGTGCGACCCTACCCGTTCTCTTGGCCAACCAAAAGGGAATTGCCTGGCTTCATTCCTGTACGAACATGATCAAACATGCTGAACTTGTCACTTTCAAGCTTAAACTTCTTAAACTAAGGACGCATCGGACATCATAAAGCACAAACAAACCCACCCAGCTTTCGTTGGCTGTGCCCCGCCTCGACCTGGAGAACCCGCCGCTCCAGCTCCGTGCGCTCCGCACGCTCTGCCGGCAGACGCCCGCCGTGCCGCCGCCGTGCGAAGAGGTCCTCGAACTTCCGCTGCGCCTGACGCCGCCAAACAAGGTGGAGGTGTCCAGTGGGGGTGAGTTATACTGGGGTCAGATGCCTTAGGCCAAGTGGTCCGAGATGACATACAACTTTTCCAAATCTTAGGTCATGACGCTTGTCAATGCAAAATCAACGATTTTGCAGATCTCTGGCGACAACCTCTGACATCTCTGATTTTGAGATCTTTTCAAACTTTTGCTTCATGACATAGAACTCCGTGGCCCTGCCAAAACCTCAACTCCTTTGTGGTGTTGGCCCAACAAAGGCTAGAGGCCATGGGATGTCTCAAAGCGTCTTAAGTGCTTGAGAGGTACAGGCTTTGCTGATTTGCTGTTCAGAACCGAGAGGACACTAGCAAGCAGACCGCAACCCACGTTGTGGCCTCAGACTTGTACAGCACAAACTCGTGCCAGTGGGACCTCAATGGCGGGATCAGGTCGATCGCGAGTTCCGGCGCCTTCGATCCGGCGGTCGCTGCGTCCTCCAACCTTTCCCTCCATCTCCCAAGCTTCGCAAGGAGATGGCTATAGCTATGGTAAGGTCGCATGGAGTCCCCCCCATATACATGACGTGCATGGCTTGCGCAAGTGATCATGTGGGCATTGATGGCCCCTTGAGCCAAGAAACAAGACTTTGGCCTCCACCAAATCCAAGCGCCGTCCGAACTGCCCAGAGCAGCAGCCACAGCGACAGGAGCGCAGCCCAGCACCCTCCATAGCGCCCGCGTCGCTTCTGGGAGAACAGCAGGTGCCGAAGAGTTGACAGTGTAAAGTGAGGTGTCTGTGGATCGTGGACGGCCACAACACCAAAACACTAGCAAACACCGCAACCTCGTGATGAAGCTCAGGAAGTGTGAAGTTCCATGATTCCTGCCCATTGCCCACAGTTCAGGCGCGGGCCAAGGTCTTTTCTCTTTTGTCGAGCACCACCCATCCAATCCCCCCCAAAACTTGCCTTCAGCCGATCTGTTTGCTGTCATTTCACTCGCCGCTCAGAGGGCCGTCTTGGTGATCCGCGGACGTCCGAACGTGGTGTTTTCCCGTTCTCGCGTGGTGCCGAAAATGGGGGAGATCGGAAGCTTCCGGCAGCTAAGCCTCAATGGCTGCAGCAATGGCTTTCGTTTGGGCCGCCCTGGACCTCCCAGGATCGAACCTTGGACAGCAATTCGCCCAAGCAACACGCCTCAAATCCGCCAAAGCCAAGCAGCCTCTTGAAGCATCATCCAAAGACTAAGAGGTTTGGACGGTGAATTGAACATCATTTCATGTGGATCTGCTGGAAAGCTCTTCCCTCCCTGGCCCCATGGCCCAGCACCTGCAAGCACACCTCGCAACGGCAGGGGCGCGCATCAGGGTCCTGGCTGTAGGTAACTGCAGTGGATCCACGAAGAAGATCTCTAGCGATCCTGTTTTCCTTTGGGTGATTGGGGGGCATCACCAATGACCTTGCTCCAATTCTTGACGACCCACCAGTCCTTGAAAAAACTGTATGGCTCATTTGTATATACTGTAGCCCTATATGAGCCTTTTTTGTGGAAGGGTGGTGCAGCGATCGGCTGCAGCTTCTCCATCGGTGCCGAGCACCTGGCCTCGGGCTCCTGATCCTTGGGATCTGGCGGCAAGGGACGCCTCGCAAGTTCCACTCGGCTGTTGCTAGTAGGTTGGAGGCCATCGCTTGCAGGTTGGGGGCCATCGCTACTAGGTTGGAGGCCATGGCTTTTAGGTTGGAGGCCATTGCTAGTAGGTTGGAGGATTGCTGGTAGGTTGGAGGCCGCTATTAGGTTGGTGGCTCTTCTAACTCTTCGAAGGCAAATCACTCGGACGCGTGACTCGGCCGAAGCTTCGGCCAAATTACCTCGATAGCATTCGGAACACCGCCCCGGTTTGAGGAGGCCCTGAATGGCTCTACATAGGGCACTGCTATTGCTGTTACCTTCATGGTGTCAAGTGTCATGGAATATCTTATATTGGCTTTGCCTTCGAAGTCACCTGCGCTTACAACATCTTACAACCATGTTGGAGCCCGGTGCAATCGAGCAGCCCATTGGTCACCAAAAGCTCTCGCTCCACTTGTCTCGGACCTGGGTTGATGGAGCTTGGGATCAACACGGTCCTCAGCATCTGCCCCTCCAACTCGAAGACGGGACAAACCCTTCTGACATGGTATTGACAAACAAGGAAGCCTCTATTGACATGATCCTCCAGCGGTTTGCTTCTTCCAAAGGTTTCTATATCACCCCATGCCTGACTAGAGCCCGGGGTGCTCGCCTCTTCTGCCTCCTTTGGGCATGGATACGCCATGTGTGGTGGCACTCTCAGCCTCACCGGTTGTTGACTCGGTTTGCCGCTTTAGCCGCATCTGAGTACGCTTTAGCCGCTTTGGTCATCTTCAGGCTGCGAAGTGGACACAGCAAAAGACTGTGAAGGCGAGCTTGAGACAACTTGGCTTAACATGAAAGCTGTGCGAACAAGTGCTTGAAACTTGACTGTTTGGTGTAGAGCTGCCCTCACAAATGAATCAACTGAAGGGTTTGGGCCAAAAACTCTTGTGTCCCCGCACCTCGAAACGTACTGGCGGAGGTTGTGGTAAGACTTACTGCAGGAAAAATGGGAGGTGAACACTCGTGTGGCGGCCCTGTCTTTTTGAGAGGGACAAATTGGTCGGCTACCTTGCTTCCAACCCAGAATGTTGCGGGCACTGCTTGAGAACGTTGACCACTTGAGCCAGATGGCTTTCCACAGACTGAGGTCGACTAGGGCATCGGAAGAAAGACGCTCCGCGCATCCATCGCGGTTTTCGTGAAAAAACACGACTACAACAAGGACCTCCACACAACGAAGGACAACTTCCAGACTTACTGGAGCAACTTCCAGTTTTCTAGTCTATTCGGCTGGCTGCACCTCTACTTACCAAGGACCTCGAAATGTAACCCTCTCCACACCACTGGCTGCCACTGGCCCACCAAGACTTGCAAAATATTCCGCCACTAAACTAAACCTTGATCGCTTGATATCCAATAACAGTCACCATCTTTCCACATCCAACTGCGCTTCCCTCGGCGCTGCTTTTAAAGGACCAGTGAGGAAGCAGAAGCCATTATGAGTGCTGACCTCTTGACAGCTCACTGCCCTATGTTACATGATACCTGGCCCTCTGTCGCAGTGATCTGCCAGGGATTGCGGGTAGCTTGTGGGCTGCTGTCTGAGGACTTCTTTTGCATCAGAAGGTGCGTCTGGAAACTGAATGTTTCTAGGAAGCCCACCCCATCCTGAATACACGTTCACCCATCTTCAACCCTTCTTTCCATTAGGAAGCTTCGTCCAGCTCCGCTTCTTGCTGCAAGAACTGCTTCGCAAGACACGCGCGAAGTTTGGTTGGAAGAACCTCACACACCTCCACCCACCGATTCAAACCACTGACTGATTTGGGTCAAAACGTCACTTAGTCTGTTGAGAAGGTGACCGGACCTTAAAAGCAATCACTTCGCACCACTGGAATACAAATTAAAGGTATTGCTGGGAAAACGATGCTGTTCCATCTCACCTTGCGACAGCAGGTTTCCCGGCCAAGAAGAGGTTGGCGCTCAAAAAAAGCAAAGGGACAAGCCAGTGGAGGTCTATTCTCAGCTACGGTAAGGTCGGAGGTTTGCGCGCCCACCATCGGCTCGGGTATCGCGCGCACGCGGGGTCGTGCGTGCGTAAAATGGGCGAGAGACTCAGACCTCTGCATCTGGAGGGGTGTGTCGATTCTCAATACATCCAAAAGCCTTGACAAGCCCTTTGCCCCCATTTCGGACAAGGCCACAGCGTGCTGCCTCCCTACACCTGCTTGTTACTGTCCAGGCCAACCTCCATCGTGTGGAGGTGGCCTGGCGAGACCCCTGCAGCGTTGCAAATGTCCATCCCGCCGAAGTACATGCCCACAGTGGCTCAAGTCTGACACTGATCGAAGGTCACTTCGATTCATTCCGAAGACACCTGGACGAGCCCCTCGTGCAAGGCTTGTGACAACACAGGCTCCCACAGACAAACGACCTTCGTGCCATTCTGAGCCACCGCAAGGCTCCGTGCGCGAGCTGTGCCGGTCGGAAATCTGAGTGCAGGGATGAACACGTGCATCCACTCTTCTCACTGGCGTAATGTGTAGTATCTTCGATGCGACACAACGAAGGGATCGGATCATGCCAAAATAAGTGATCGACGCATATATTAAGGGTATATCATCGCCGACCAGGTCTGCATGATCAGTATGCAGTAACCTCAAGAGTCGGATAAACACCGGCCTTGGTTCGTATGACTGTCAGTCCGCCAACCCTCTGCACTCACATGCAAATCAACCGCATTCCGGGGATTGCCACTGGCGCCAGTGGAATCTAGAACCCCTTTGGGCCCGAGGCGAGCAGCAGAAGGTGCGCATGGGAAACAGCAACATGTGGAGCTGCTGGCTTGAAGCAATCACTTGCGCATTGTCAAACTGTATTCACACTTAGTCAAAACCTGCTGGACAGGCTTTGAACCCGATCAGATCGATCAGGCCCTCAAAAATTCTAGGTAGGGTGGGGATAGGAACCAAATACCATGATTACCATGCACAACTTCCACGCCACCTTGATTTCTCAGGCAGGCTCACTTGCCTGGCTGACGGCAACGTGGCTGATCTATCGAAATGACTCGCATACAACAAAACCTGCTGGCGCCTGACAAGAAAAGGAACAGTTGGAAAGCGGAGGAGATCAAAAGTTGGAGAGGGGTCATGGATATCATACTCATAGCCCATTCCAACTTATCATGTTTTACCACCACTTCCCAGCTACCCTAGCCCTAGATCCCCCTGCCTTCACCTCCTTTAGCTCCGCCACCGCGGCTTCGCCGCCATGCCCGGCGTGGGCGTCTTGTTGAACGCTGGCGTGGGCGAGGGCGCCCGGCGCATGTGCGACGCGGGGTACGCCCGCAGCTTCGGCCGCTGCGGCGAGGGGCTCGGCACCGGGCTGGGCGCTGGGCTCTCGCCCCGCGCAGGCGACGCCGTGCGCGAGGAGCCGCGCTGGTGCGGCGAGGCCGTGGCCGGGCGGTTGCGCCGCGGCACCTCGCTCTCGCCCAAGACGCTGGCCTGCGACCGATTCAGGAAGAAGGGAAGAGTTGGGAACACGATGGCTTTTGAAGGCTTGTTGGAGGAACACCCCACTTGAACGATCAATGCAGTGTCTACGGGCCAAGCCAAGTGGTTAAATGCTTGGGGTCGATGATCGGGGAACCAGCCTTCGCACGAACAGGTCCGCCTGTCCTCGCACAAAAGCAGCATGCTGTTTCAAGTTTCAAGCACAACGGCCTAGTTTTTGTGGATGTTCACCTCAGCTGTTGACCAACGCTGTGGAGACAATCATCGCATTGCACAGGTCCATGCTCATCCACGGCGGCCACTTGACAAAATGTCAAGTTGCACAACCCCTTCCCCCCACAACATACACGCAAGCAGGGCACCCTCCAGCTTGAGGAAACGTTCGCCCACGTTCGCCTTGGCGCAATGCCCTCCCCAAACCGTGCGCCCCCGAGAGATTCGTCCTGAAGGCCGTCATCCCGCGCATGCCCGGGCCTTGAGGGCCCTTAGAGCGCAGGGTGCTGAATCCAACTGACAGACTCGGCAGTGTTGTAGGGCAAAAATGCAACTGAAGAGTGAATTTGGTGCAACATAGTGCAACTGTCTAACGGTTACCTAACGGGGACAAACCAGAAAGGTCAGTGGTGATTGCTCCATTTTGCCCATTCCAGGCTGCTGAAACAAAGAAACCCATCTGAGACTTTCAGAGATGTCAAGCGCCACTGGATGTTCGGAACACAACACCGCCACGTCACCAAGTAAAAACCGGGGACGAGCGTTGAGCGTGTGTTTCCCTACTGTCGGCAGACGCCACCAAACTCTCAGGCCCTGTACGTTGGCACTTCCACCGGACCTCGGGTGTGCCATGCGCCCCGCAGTAAAGTGGCTTTTGCCACTTGACTCACGCCTCTCACGTGCCCCAACCAAAATGACAAATGAACTCACTGGTGGCTTGAGCAATCCTCAACTTTTGGCAGCCTTTACGGACCTAAACGCTCCTCGTGATCTGCAGCAAAGGCGGCAATCTCGGCTCACCCGCTCAATACCTTTCTTGGCCACCCCGCGGTCCCAAGCGCGGCTGCCCCACCTCAGCTACGCTGGACTTGAACACAGCAGGGACGCTGAAATTCCACGATTCGAGGATTGGAACACCCTGAAGAGCCACCCTTTCTGTTAGGATCTGTAAGGAAGAGTGAGGTCATGTGCGGTCTAAGGTGTTCCAAACGACGTTTCTGTCGTTTGGCGCCATCCATTCCGGTCCTCCCCACTTCGAGGCCCGTGACCGAGCACCCGGCGAATAAGCCAAAGCCAGGGCCATTGGGCATCGGAGGGGCTGATTTGCCTCGGTCAGTGCGGCATCCAACCGAACTCCAACCGAAGAGCAAAAGGAACCTAATAGCCATGGCCTTCAACCTCAAAACGCGATGGCCTCCATCCCTACTAACCGGACAGCCACAAATCACCAACCCATTCCTTGACACCTTGTATCTTTGGTGATGACGGATGGTCGACATCGACTGAAACCAGAATATGGTTCCAATGAATCATGAAGATTGTCCGTCACGATTGAAAGAACCGTGTCAGTTTCGTATCACTATATTGAGACACTCTTTTTTGCCATGGCAAAGGCCATGCCGCCGGGTCATTTCCCCGGATAGAGCTCTGCGCTTGGGCTTGAATCAGGGCGTTGGAACTCTTGCAGCTTTTGACCGTCTAAGATTGCCAAATGTTTGCACATCCCATGATCTTTGCCCGTGCGCCGGCCCCGCGCTTTTCGCGGGGTGCGAAGGAGAATGATTGTCACATGGCAGGTGGCGGCTCTGGGAAGCTCCAGTAAGAAAGACTGCCCCCTCTAATGCATCATGAACGGCCAAGTCATAATATTGGTTGATCATGGTTCATCTATCATTGCCGGGTCTGCAGGCAAGTCAATCTGAAAAGAGCAACGTGGGCATTCGCATGGTCTTGCTCAGGTCCTGAAAGGCACAAAGGTGCAAGCGATCACATACACACACACACAACAAAGTCCAAACAAGTCCTTCAGTTTGATCGGAGCAAGTTAACTACTACAGCCACTCACGGATCAAAAGGATGAAGCACGCCCCTCATCAATGGCATTGTTTCATCCTCCCTGAGAGCACCGCTGCACACTCTGCTAATCCCTGATGCGCAGTATCCCAGCACTCCTGGGTTTCCAGCTTATCCTCGTGTATTTCGATCTCAGTCACCCCATCAGGGTTGAACACGAAAAGGGTCTCCTCGGCGACGGTCGGTGCATGTTCCCTCGAGTGGTTTTGTTTGGGGATTCCAAAATACATTCACATATATATATATATAATTCTCAAGACTTGCTCAAGATTTCGAGCATGTTCTTTGGCGGTCTAGTTCCGCGGGCCACATAGCACAAAACAAAACATTGAAGGACACCAAAAATGTGACAAACGGAGCGGGCCGAGCGAACGTGCCACACCCAGCTGAGACCGCAAGTCAAGCACTGCTCTCTCTAGAGAAAGCAACCCAACCCAGAAGCATTGCCCCATCCCGGCAAAAGACCCCGCAGCACCGAACCCCTCGTCGCCAAGTAGCAAACAACACCAACACACCAGGCAAACACCAAACCACATCCGGAGCATCAAGAGAATCAACCCACCTGCCATCGACCAAAACCGGCGGGAGAGAACCCGTGTCTGAAACCCACTGCCAGAACAACTCCAGCCATGAGATTTTCCAGCACTCCTCGCCGTCCTCGCCGAGCGTAGAAACCGACCACTGCAGCGGGGCCAACCAACCTGCCAAACCACGCAAAAACCGCACATGAAACCCGGCCTGGACCTCCATCCGAAGGCACTCATTCTACGGCACCAACCTTCGCGGAAAAGTTACGACCCAGCCGCACCTGAACCGGGGGACAATTTGCCCGACACGGAGAAAAGTGCAGCGTCCAGATGAAAGAGTTGGAGGATACAGTACGTTGCCACCGCCGCCACGCAACTTGCTGAACGACCTTCTGATAGGCATCAAGGTGCCTAAAAGCAGTCTGCAACAACAACTTGGCAACGTGATCAGCATCATAGGCATTGCCCATCCCAAAAACGCGAGAAAAACCTGCAACCCGTGCCGGATCCAAATGCGCCTGGATTCCGAGCTAGCCACAAGGTCAACCCTATCCAACGCATCCCAAAATCGGCGCCACAGATCACCATTCTTCTCCGGGCATGGACAATAAGCTCCAAAAGCTGCGAAGGCTTTCAGACAAAGTGCAAACAATCACTGAATAGCACAAAGCGTGTGTACAACCGGGCAGCTGTCAACCCAGCATAAATCTCCACACGAGGAACAGTCTGCTGAGAGGTAGGCAGAAAACCCCTGAAGGAAATGCGGAAACCTGTAGTCTCGTCCAATTCGACAACCGCAGAAGCGCCCCAACGCAACAAAGGATCCTGCGAAGAAAGGCACCAGCCTTCAGTAAACAGAAGAGCAGGCCTATCCACGCTAACCCATGGCCTAACAAATATACAGAACAGCAAACATACATACAAAAGAGCAAGCAGAAAACAAGAAGAAGGAGAAGAAGGAAGAAGAAAGAAGAAAAATAAGAAAAAGAAGACGGCAAAGAAGAAGAAGAAGAAGAAGGAGAAGAAGAAGAAGGAGAAGAAGAAGGAGAAGAAGAAGGAGAAGAACAAGAACAAGAACAAAAGAAGAGCAGAAAAGAAGAAGGTGAACCAGCAAAAGGAACAAATAGAGGAGGTGAAAAGAACAAATGAAAGAACAAGCAAAGTTGAACGCCTGTCCCTCGATCCAAGCCTCACACGTCTTGTCAAAGGGAGCATGGAAGAGTCGACCAGGAGAAGCTCTTGGCCAAGCTCTTGCACAACAAGACTCCCATGTGAGAAGCTGTTAGCATCATGTCTAAGCTATTTCATGTTTTCATTGTTTTGTTTCAAGGTCGTCCTTGTTAAGTCCTTGTTTGTTGTCCTTTCTTTAGTCCTTTCTTTAGACCTTTATTCATTCCATGCCCCTCCCCAATGACATGCTGCCCCAGGCTCCCAGCGAGGCTCCCAAAAGGCACAGCTCACGCGCCGCGCGGCAAAGCAGGAGGTGTGCAGCTCCAGGTTTCGCGACTCGGAGCGGTTGGGCCGTTCCCAGTGGGAGAGGTTGGCACCCAGCGGGAGAGACAGCTTGCACCTAGTAGCTCCTAGTAGCGAACATTGCTCCTAGTAGTAAGGCACTTGTTACTAGAAGCGATGCACTTGTTCCTAGTAGCTTCTTGTTTCTAATAGAAATGCCCTTTGCTCCTAGTAGCTTCTTGCTCCTAGTGGCAAGGCCAGGAGTTCCTGGTAGCGAACATTGCTCCTAGTAGTAAGGCCAGGAGCCCCGTTCGTAGCGTCCGATCGCTCCGTTCGTAGCGATGCCCTTTCCTCCTGGTAGCTTTCAAGATACTTTTTGGAAGTTGATCAAGCTTCCAGGGGCTTGGGGACGGGATTGCCCAGCAGCTGCCAAAGATGGGAGAAAAGTACTCCAGCAAGGCCCCGAAAATAGATAGGATGCAAACTTCCACCAAATATGTATGTTGAGCCTTCTCCCATTCCTATAGTCTATAGTTGTATAGAAGGCTTGCACAACAGGATTTCTCCAAAGTGCCGGTGCGCCGCAAGATTGCTCGCAGTCGTACAGTCGTACACGCGCACTTCTTTGTCTCAGCAGCGTATGTCGCCAGAACTGTCCACCCCACAAAAACTCAAGAACCGAGGAAAGTGAAAGTTCTGGCCGCCTGACCGCTTGTTCCTCAAAGATCATGGGCGCATGTCTCAGCAGCTTGTGTCACAACAACTCAAGCACATGATCTTTTGAGGCTCTCCCAGTCTGGAATGTCTCCACCGAGCTGCATCCCAAATCTTCACCACTCCCTCCTTGTGCAGGGTCAGGAGAAACTTCCTCAAGAGCTCCGGCTGCTAGCCGCTGGCGCAGAAGCCCACAGGCATGACCATCAAACTCTTTATGATTCATGACCCCAATGACCACACAAGGACTTCTGACATGTTAATGATGCGCGATTAAGACAGGCAATACCCCTAAACTCCGCACTGCTGCAAGCCTCATTGCATGCCAGGTGGCCCTGAAGGCATATAACGCACTAACATCACATTGAAGTTCTGCTCAGGGTTCTGCTGGGTGTTGTCCTGCAGTATCCATAGTCCTCTCCCCCCATTTAGAAGCAATCATGGGCCTAACCTCATCTAGCCATGCAAGCTGAACCTGTCTATCTATCTATCTATCTGGTCTTGCGTCGTTACTTGGCTTTCGTCCGTCTGTTCAGCTTTTCGTCTCACCAAATCTTACATACCTGCCGTCCACGGCTGTGAAGAGGGCAGTCCCTCGGAAACCCAAGAATGGATCCCGCCAAACCTCGTCAGACTTTAGACATGTTGGCCTCGCAATCAAAAACTACTCCGGATTACAAGAAAACAACCACCAGCGGACTGAGAGAAGAGATGTTTGTTGATGGTTGTATGTCTGTCCTGCACTCCGATCACGCCATACTTCGCCTACAATGAACACAAAAGGGCAGCCACCACAAATATATAAGGGGCAAAAAATTCTGAGACAGTCCATGTCACACATGTCCGGAAAAACTGCGGTGCCAAGCGTTTGTCCAAGCGTTTGTCTACAAACAAAACGCATACAAACGTTTCACCCGAATCCAGCTGCTACTTATTTCAAGACCGTTTGCTTTATGTCAACTGTGCAGTAGGGGGCGTCTCCTACTTTGCCAGTACTCCCAACCAAGAACCGACACACCTGCACTCCAGTCACAGCTGCCTTGACCCCCGGCATCTTTTCCCAATCTGGGCAGGTTGCATCTCCTGAAGCTTTCCCTCCTGCATCCTTCTGGATCTCCAAGATTACAATAATTCGCGCATAGGATTAAACAACCTCCCCTGGTTAGCCAAGCCCAGCTCCAGCCCCCAATGCTAAATTAATTCGAAACCTGAGTTCCACATCTCCATTATCCTAACTAAAATTTTCCTTGGCAGAAACGATTAATCAAGCCCAGCTCCCCCAGAACAAATACGAGTATAATTCGTGCTTATTACTTAATTTCGTTTTGGGCAGTATCCAATATCTTCTGGTCCACGGTGAAGCTGATCTTCTGATCCACCCTTTCCTCATGCCATCTCTTTTTGAAACATATATATTCTCATCCTTCTTCTTGTTCTTCCCATCCTTTCCAGCAGCAATCTGTGCAGCCAATGTATACTCATATGGGATCTTCCTCCCCAGCCTCTTCCCCTCCCTCCTCATCCAATAGGCTGTGCACTTCCACACATTGCAGTCATACACCCACCGGAATCTATCCTATCAGGTCTCTTATCAAGCTTGTGCCAGTATACTCAGAGCTCTCATGGCTCTCATGGTTCAAACTCTCATGATTCATCAGGTCATCATCTTTATTAGGGGGATGAGGTCTCTAATACCTCCAATCTCAAACCTTGTTGACCTTGTTGACCTTGAAGGGTGGGTTGATTAATCCTAGCACCATTCTGCATATTCTGCTCGATTCCCTCGTTTTCGCAGCCTGCGACAAGATCTGCCACAAGTGCACACCGCGCTGCCCTGCAACTGCCAGCTGTTCCAATTCCAGGGACCTCAGTTGAATCACGAAAGGCATTGAAGGTGAATGCCTTCACGAAGTGTACAACCATCCCCAAACATGCAAACTTAATTTACTGGATCGTGACCTTGAAATACGCGGAGCGCCCCAAAGCCAACCACCTCAACTATATACCTTTTTGTTTGACCGTTGCATTGTGTTGGAGTGGGGCTTCTTACAGTTGAAGTCTGTCCATGCAGCATTCCAATTCAATCCTTTGCGGCACTGGGGTGGGATTACGGTTAGGCATGGATGACGGCTTCCCGGACTTCCCAATCCCACCCATCCACTCTCAATCCACTTCTGAAGATCCCGGACTTCTCCACCCACTCTCAATCCCACCAGCCCTGGTTGCAAGACGCAGGTCTGCTGAGGTGACGGTGAAGTTTCGCCCACAGGCCTGGAACTCCGTCTGCGAACGAGTCCCGTTTTTTGAGCGGCCGATGATGGCCGGTGTTCTTTCATTGCCGGCCGGCACTGCTACGTTCGGGGCTCCTGGCCTTTCTACTTGGACAAAAGAGCACCTCAGTCCAGCACTGGGGCAGTTTGAAGGGGCTGCTGTCTCCCCCCTCCAGTTCCTCAAAAAGATGCGCCCCGCCTCATTGATCGCAAAGGTTTGGACCCCACAGCTGTCAGCCACCACCACGTGACCGGTGCTGGAGACGCTGAAAATGCCCATAATCTGGTGCCAATACAAGGCCTCAGGAGCCAGGAGAGTAACAAAGCGTCCTGGCTCGCGTGAGTCATGTTGTGGCCATGAGAATTCTTGGCCATGAAAACTACCCTGGTCACATTCCAAGTGGGAACCAATCTACATGGGACCTGCCCCTTGCTCGGAATCAGAAACATGAAATGACGGCATCCGTGTGCGCTTCGGGCTTTGGTCCTGTGGGGTCGCATCTGAGTGGGTGTACGGCGCGTGCGGGTCCGGTGTAAAAACACGCACGGCCCACGGCGGCCCTTTGTAGTGCTCAAGTGGCAACAATCGGCGTCTTGCAGTGGAAGTGCTCCAGGAGAAGTGGCTCTTCGGCCTACAACCCCGCCACTCTTCAAGTGCACGTCGTCTTGACATGGCAGTGGTAAGACCAAGACGTTGCCAGAAAAAACGCACCAAATCAGTTCTTCCTAGGCCCTAGTTGCTTGCTGGATGTCTGACACCCCAGCCGCCTGCACGACAGGCTCGCCGTTCGCCAAGCTTTTGATCCTCTGCCTCTCTTCCATGACCTCTCAGCCCATTTTCTTAGAGAGAAATAGCAACGATGTAGGCGACCAAGGCGAACAAACACGTTTTGGGCCTTGGACTTTGATTTGACCTCGTTTTGTTGGGTGTGTCAACGTCAAGCAGACTGGAGCTATCTGGAGCTGCTCTTTACGCCTTCATATCACATCAGTTTTCAGGGGCTCAACAGGATTCTCGGGCATTTTCGAGGTTCGGGTTGAACTGCTGCTTCATACCTTGCCCGTGAGGCTGATTCATCACCAAACAATGCTAGTTACTGGTTGCTTTGCATGCTTTGCGAGGCGTGAAATGCAGCACGCCTGCTCCAGCGTCTTCTTTTTCTTCTTCTTCTTATCATCAGCTTTCCTCACATCACATATTTGAATGGGTGTGACGCATCGCAAACGGTCAGAAGCGTTGCCGCTCTTCTTCGGCGTCCGTGTCCGCGAACGGTGCACTGGTAAGCTATAGTCGTCTAGCTGCCACCCTTAGCAGTGCTGATCTGGAGAATGCAAAGGCTATAGTGCAACCATGTCCAACCCGTGTCGGTCGGTGCAATCGGTGTAAACGGCACATACAGTGTAACCGGCATGGCCCGGCACACAGACAAATTGTGGACACTGATTGCGCTAGAAATGCAATGTTTCACCATTCTGCTGATGCTGCAAATTGACAACATTCTTCAGTCTCCCTGCTTTTGAAGTCCAGGCTTCTCCATTGAAAATTCCTCTGGGAAGAAGCTGCGGAAGACCGCGACACGACCACTTTCGAACCCAGCAAGCACCTCGGTTCGACGGACAGACGGACGGCACCTTGCTCACCGGCAGAAGCAAAATCTCTAAAACATTTCCTGCAGTGTTGATCATCACAACCCTCCTGCTGCCGCCTGCCTGCCGCCCCCACACCCCGCAACGCAGTTGGACAAGGCACCGTCTCCACGGCCATGCTCCCTTCATCTGAGAGCCGCTGAGCCGGCAGGCACAGTGCGGTGCAAACGTCGCCCAGGCCACGCGAGGCATCGAAGCCTAGCACGGTTACTGCAGCCATCACCCTACTTATCCCGACTTGAAACAAATTCACAAAAACATTGATAAGTCTTACAGTAAGTCTTACTTTTTGGCACACTTGGACATCGAGCTGTCACACCCGAGCTGTCGCAGAACGTACGGGCCCAAGAACCATCTCCTAGCCTTGGATCTGATGCAACTGCTTCCGCTTGGAGCCATGGGAGCGAAAAAGGTAATAGACCGCCAGCTGGCCATCGCCGATGCCTGGCTAATCCGGCCAGGAAAAATGAACATACAAGAACATGGGCTAAATGATTGCAGTCTGTTGGGGTGGCGTTTGCCTCGTCTGGAAGCTCTTAGGCTGATTGCTTGATTCATTGATAGGCACTAGCCTCACTAGCCTCACCAGAAACTATGAAACTACATGGGGTCCCATGGATTACTCGAATGCCTGCAAGCCACGGACCCATTCCGTGATACAACTGAACTTTAAAAAGCAACTCCGTCTTCGGCGAAGACGGAAGAATTCAAACCCCCAAACAGCAAAGAAGGCCCAAGGGCCCAAGCCACATGGGCGGCCTGCGGCCACGCGCGGGCGCTTGGGGTCGACCACGAGGCTCGACACCTCGAAGCGCAGGCGCCGCAGCTGCGGCTCTTGCCGTGCTTGGGCGCTGGCACGCGCCAGGCGCTTGGCCATGGCAGACCTGGTGACGCCTAAGAAAAGGATGAGACTACGGCACCTCAAAGAATGAGTAGGAGAAGGATACGACTCATGACTCAAGTTACAAAGCAGAACCATCAAGAACCCAACCAGGCTTGACCAAGATCGGATCGTCCTTTCCTTTCTGGCCAAGCTGCTGGTGAAGTTGACAGGCTCCTTCACACGAGCATTCCAAGGCGTTGAACCAAACGTCGTCTGGCACGGCTTCCTGACCTTCCGGTCTGAGTCGTTCAGACTCTTCAGACCTCGACTTCAGACCTGTGAGACTACTCAGGTGATCTTCTCGGGTCAAAGACTGTGGTCTTCCAATCTTCAAACTCGACTCTTCTTTACTAGTAGCTTCTTGTTCCTACTAGTAAGGCACCTGTTACTACTAGCGTGGCACTTGTTCCTAGTAGCGTCAAAAAATGTTGTGGTCAGCCCTGTCCTCCATCTCTGGGTCCAAATTCAGGCTCACACTCCCAGTGACGCTGTTCCTCATGCGACCTTTGGTCATCCTGAATCGATGTGCCGCACCAAGGCGGATGCAGAATCGAAGCGATCAATATCGGGGGACTGACAAGCCGGACTGCGGGAAAACTCTCAGCAAAGCTTCCAGTTCTTCAGCTGTTTTCTTCCGCTCCCACCGGCTTCTACTTTCTGATTCTGCACATCGCATGCCATATTTCTACTACAGGGTTGGCATCAACATATATATATACATACCGGATCATACCAGGTGTCATTTGCTGTTTTCCTGGTGTCTTGGTTAGGCTTTCTGGCTTGCAGTGTCGCCCATGGAACCGTGCACGCGGCAAATGCGTTGGGTGACGTGATGGACATGGACCGTGGTCAAACACGGCACCCCTCCGGGCCAATGTGTCAGGCTGATTACTTCCAAGTGAGCAACAAGTGCCAGAAATCAAAACAGTTCCAACATGTTCCAACTCCTTAAGGTGTTTTCTTCTCAACAAAGCGATGTGGCCGATGTCTTGGCACAAGCATCTCCACGAGGCTCTTGGGATTGGGATCCTCCTTGGCGCCATCCAGATCTTCCCCTGGCAGGTCACGCCGATGCGATGCGATGAAGGCCGGAATTGGGAAGCTTAGGGGTTCAGGGCCCTGGTGGGGTTAACGGAATTGGCTCAGTGTGGGCGATTTGGAGTCGATCGCGTTCGTAGCTTTATGTCGTGGCGTTTATAGTGGCGTTCGTTCGTTTCGACCACCCCCACCTGCGAGCATCACTCAAACAGGAAATATTGCAATACTCCCGACCGCAGGAGCATCTGACCCAACAAATCTCCCTGCAAACATTCCAACCAACTACCCTCACCCTCACCCTCACCCTTCCCCAGTGCTGCGCTTGTACTCTTGGACACTTCCTCTCTCGCCCCGGCTGCGCAAAAGGACAGGGCTCACCTGCAGCCTGGCCCTTCTTCCGCGCAAAGGCCGCTTCAGCCTCGGCGGCCAAGCGCTGCACCAAGCGCCGCTTGGACTCCATCTCCTCCGGTGCCCGCCGTGCCCCGAGGTGCGGGTTGAGGGGGTGTAGGTCGGGTGCTGTTTAGGTGGGAGGCAAAAGAAGGGGGAAGAAAAGCACAACCCAACTTTGATTGATGGTGATTTGCTCAAAAAGGCTCCAAATCTACAATTTCCTGATCAAACCTCAGATACTGCTGCGACATCAAAGCTATGATTACCCAGCAACTGCTTCTTACTTGCTCCTGATGCTCGCTTGTACCACAAATGGACTCTTTTCACTGTCCTTGCCCATGCCTGTTCGATGTAGACGAGAGAAAATGATCCCCTGGGCTCGGATTGGGCTCCTCAATGGCCCGGCGCGAGACCTGGTAGTCCAAAGGATGCAGGACTGTGGTCCGTTGCCTGCGAAGGAAATAATGAAGCAGGACGGAGTGCCACTGGCCTCTCTTCTCTTGGGCATCCTTGCTAAACACTTGCCTTCAACTCTTGGTGGCGTCAAACCGGCCAGAAACATCTCAGAAACAACTCCACACAGCCACAACGCTTGGCAAGTTGCACGGTGGTGATGAACCGTTCTCTGTCCAGGTCAAGGTGAGTGTCCTGGGGTCTGCATGGGTCTACGTCAGTCTGTGTAGTTGTGAAGATGCAAATGCGTGTGAGAAACCTCTCCTCCAACTTCGAAGGTGTTCTCTCTCCAAGTTCGCATCAACCCCTTTAGAGAGGATCCAGTATTTGGGTTCTGCCTAAGTTTGGGCTCCCCATCCATTTTTGGTGCCATATGTCGCTGTGAGGAAGACACCACGCACAGAGTCCCAGCGCAGCTCCTGCACGTTGCTGGAGTCACGCTCCTTTCGGATCAGGTCGTTGCGCCGGTGAATCTCGGCGCGGGTGGTCTGCGAGCCCACGTCGCCTCGGCCAGCGACATAGGCACCAGAACGAGACCAACACCGTGGAACACCTACCAATAACTCAACGAGATGAAAAATAAGAAAGCGAAACACATGTGAACAAACCCATTGTTGATTTCTATGGTCATAGAATGGAGTAGTCTCCGCTCTATTGGTTGTTCATGTAATTAACGGGCAGGCTGGTGATCGCGGCCTGAGCCTGGAAAAATGAGGCTTGCTCCCTTTGCAACAACCATCTACAGTAATTCTAAAGCAGCCTCATCTTCAGATCAACCCTGTTAATGAAAGAACTAGATCATTTTCAACCTCCCATGGTACACCACGAACGAGCCATCCACACTGCGAAAAAAGGTTCATCAGGGAATTGCATATAAACGCTAACAATAAGATCTTCCAAATATATCTGCGGCGCATCCATGCAACCTAATAGCAATGGCAACCTAAGAGCGATGGCCTCCCAAAGAAACGAAGCCTGCACCACGCCTATGCCACCCAAAGTGCCCAGGCCACCCGAGCCGCCCAAGCCCATCCGTCAGTCCATCACACTGTCAAGCATCTCCTTCCATCCGCAGTGGCAGCGGAAGTGAGCTCTTTCCGCCGGTTGGCCTGGCAGCGCACTGCCGTCAGCATGCGTGCTTGGATTTCTTCCGCTTCTAGCAGTATGGGTGAAACCAACCACCCTAAGTTTTGGATAATCATAGCCACTTGAACATTCCGGCCAGCACGCCTGCTTAGTCCACTTCAGAGTCTTCAGAGAAACGATGCCACCGCCCTTCCTTTTGTCTGCCTTGAACTGCCGACAAGACGTTCAAGCACCCGCAACAAGGAGGTGGGGAGGGCCCCTTCTTGCAGTCCCTGACACCTGCAAGAATCTCACCGAAGGAGGGCGAACGGACGGCTCGGATGTGACCAGCTGAAGGATCTGAGGTCAACCGACTCTTTCCACCCAACCTCAAGGATCCAAGCCGCTCCGCTGTGGTTAGACTGCGTGCTGGGGGAGATGGTGCGGCCGAACTCGGTGCTGTCCTGTTGGCCACCCTGCTTCCAGACCTGGCAGCAAGACATCTGAAGATTGAAGGATATTTGAGGACTCCTGAACAAAAGGACCAAACCTTCTTCACAAGAGTATTCACAGGTCAACCTCCCATTCTTCCTAATCTTTCAGGTGGGGTGCCATGGCCCACCTCTGAGATGCACTTGTCCCCCTCTTCGCAAGTACATTGCTGTTGCTGATTCTCTGGATTGCTGCAAATGAGGTCCTGCAGGAGGTGCATTCGAGAAACGGGACACCTGTATCACACCTGATGGCCTGGACTTCTTTAAGAATCTTTGGGGCTCATACTAGTATGCTGGGGTTACATGGGCGGCTGGGGTTACATGGGCGAGTAGAAGCCTTCCTCCAAGACCAGTGTGCAAGATGCATGCGGGAAGAGTCACTTAGCCGAATATGGAGTCTGGGAGGCGACTTTTTCACGGGGGTGTGTTTCAGCTGCCAGGTTTGAGACATGGCACACCAAGTATGAGGGAATCGCGGTGCTCCTCCAAGGAGATGTAGCCATTTTCACGCTTGTCGAGCTCTTTGAAAAGCTGAACCACTTTGAGGCCCGTCAAGGCTTCCACATCGTGGCGGATTTGCCTCCAAAAGGTCTCTGATGTATTTCTTCAGGCAGCCAGCGTCCAATGATTCAATGGGGAATTCATGTGGGGCTAGCTCCCAAACACACCAACGAAAGGTCGTATCATGCGGGTTCCCCGTGAATGAACGACGTGCCCGCTCACTTGGACCATGTGCTTGGCGCCATCTGGTGCTTAGCGCCTGGATCCCCCTCTCCCCAGGCCTCCGTAAGAAGTTCTCGAGACCAAGGGTGCTCACTTGTCCGTTCCTTAGGCAGCCAATGGTGCCATGTCTAAACGACTGCGACGACTGCGCATGCATTCTCCCTCAAGACAGGCGTAGCCGCCGGTGCCATCCCTGTCAAGGTTTACAGGGGCTCTTCACAACCAATGCTACCCATGGAGTTTCCTGCGCGGGTCAACTTGCAGGGCGATTCATCAGGATGCGGCCCACGTAACATGCAACAAACGGGGTTATGCGTGATGTCCAGCCAGTCCTTCATAGTCCTTTCTTGGGCACTGTTGGGCTGGAGGCAATGATCATCCGTCGTCAACTTCTGAGCCAATAAAGTCGCCATCATAATAAGTATTCATAAGTAATGTTGACAATCGATGAAGAAGGAACCCTATCTGGATGATAAAACACCTCTTTCGCTTCTATTAGTCAACAGTCAAAATTAGTAACGAGTTCTTGCAACCGGCCCTTTACACACCCTTGCAAGCGAAGCTGCTCCGGCTCCATCGCCAGGAATGCATTCTGTGGGCTCCTGAGATGCGCAAAACACGGTGCAGGAACTGCGAACCTTTCCACACCCAAGAGAAGAAAACAAGAAGACGAAAACAACTGCAAAACAATGAGGATTTTCTCCAAAGATGTGTAAACCTACCTGTTTTGTGATGGCGTCTGCACCTCCAACCTTGCCAAATGCACTATCTCAGTGGACCATAGTGGACCCTTTTGTCGTGAAGGGATTGGGAAGGCATTCATCCAATAAATCTTCAGCAGGTGTCGCAAAGAGCTTGGCCAGAATGAAAATCAAAGCATAGACCCCTTCCAGGCCCTTCTGCTGCAATTCCTGACGCGCGCCCCCATAACTCCAAAACCATGTTTACATAGCACCCCCTGAAGTAAGGACAAAGTAAGTGAAGTAAATAGTTTCTTTTTCGTTCCTTGGTCCACTCTTGTTTTCTCAAAAAGTGCTGATTCACTACCTGTCTCGGACTTGTTTGGACTCCCCCACAGGCCTCGCCCAGCACGTCGGGCGTTTGCGTGGGATCGCCGATCTCCGCAGTGGCATGGGCAGAGGCCTCCACCAAATCCATCCAGCACCCAAGCACCCCGGACCCCATCGGTTGTAAGACGAGGGAATCCAGGCACCCGCAGGCCCGCAGGCACCACTCAAAGACTATGAAGGTCTGAAGGTGTGATGGCGGACGCAGGCGGATGCAGGCGGAGATGGTGCCTGCAACCTTTCTACGCTAGCTTCACTTTGGCTCATCTGCTTTTGGCTCACCAAATTCCACTCCCCCCCTGTGCGCCTGCCGTGTTCTGGGACCCTTGGCAGCCAACCCCTGCCAAGGAAGGCAATGCAAACATTGGAGAAAACTCGGCATTTGAACTGGATGCTCGAACAAGAACAAGCATGAGAAGCCAGATTCTAAAGGTTGCGAATATATTTCTGGATTTTTTCGGTTTTTTTTTTAACGTTCTTTGTTTTTCGTGTTTCGTGGCAGGTGCAGTACTTTGTGGACCTTGCAAAGCACATTTCGTGGCAGGTGCAGGACTTTGTGGGCCTTGGAGTGCAGAGCTTGTGGCAGGCGCAGGACTTTTTGTGGGCCTTGAAGTGCAGATTTCGTGGCAGGTGTAGTACTTTGTGGCCCTTGGAGTGCAGATTTTGTGGCAAGCGCAGGACTTTGTGGACCTTGAAGTGCAGATTTCGTGGCAGATGCAGGACTTTGTGGGTGTGGAAGTGTAGAGTTGGTGGCAGGTGCAGGACTTTGTGGGCCTTGGAGTGCAGATTTCGTGGCAGG